AATATGTACCTCTATATAAGACCAGGGCTGGTTGAGGTGGACAGGGGTGGGGATGCGAGGTAGAAATATGTACCTCTATATAAGACCGGGGCTGGTTGGGGTGGAAAGGGGTGGGGATGCGAGGTAGAAATATGTACCTCTATATCAGACAGGGGCTGGTTGGGGTGGAAAGGGGTGGGGATGCGAGGTAGAAATATGTACCTCTATATCAGACCGGGGCTGGTTGGGGTGGAAAGGGGTGGGGATGCGAGGTAGAAATATGTACCTCTATATCAGACCGGGGCTGGTTGGGGTGGAAAGGGGTGGGGATGCGAGGTAGAAATATGTACCTCTATATCAGACCGGGGCTGGTTGGGGTGGAAAGGGGTGGGGATGCGAGGTAGAAATATGTACCTCTATATCAGACCGGGGCTGGTTGGGGTTGGTTAGGGCAGGGATGCGAGGTAGAAATATGTACCTCTATATCAGACCGGGGCTGGTTGGGGTGGACAGGGGTGGGGATGCGAGGTAGAAATATGTACCTCTATATAAGACCGGGGCTGGTTGGGGTGGACAGGGGCAGGGATGCGAGGTAGAAATATGTACCTCTATATAAGACCGGGGCTGGTTGGGGTGGACAGGGATGGGGATGCGATTTAGAAATATGTACCTCTATATAAGACCGGGGCTGGTCGGGGTGGACAGGGGTGGGGATGCGAGGTAGAAATATGTACCTCTATATAAGACCGGGGCTGGTTGGGGTGGACAGGGGTGGGGATGCGAGGTAGAAATATGTACCTCTATATAAGACCGGGGCTGGTTGGGGTGGACAGGGGTGGCTTTGCGAGGTAGAAATATGTACCTCTATATAAGACCGGGGCTGGTTGGGGTGGACAGGGGTGGGGATGCGAGGTAGAAATATGTACCTCTATATCAGACCGGGGCTGGTTGGGGTGGACAGGGGTGGGGATGCGAGGTAGAAATATGTACCTCTATATAAGACCAGGGCTGGTTGGGGTGGACAAGGGGCTGGGATGCGCGGTAGAAATATGTACCTCTATATAAGACCGGGGCTGGTTGGGGTGGACAGGGGTGGGGATGTGAGGTAGAAATATGTACCTCTATATAAGACCGGGGCTGGTTGGGGTGGGTAGGGGTGGGGATGCGAGGTAGAAATATGTACCTCTATATAAGACCAGGGCTGGTTGGGGTGGAAAGGGGTGGGGATGCGAGGTAGAAATATGTACCTCTTTATCAGACCGGGGCTGCTTGGGGTGGACAAGGGCTGGGATGCGAGGTAGAAATATGTACCTCTATATCAGACCGGGGCTGGTTGGGGTGGACAGGGGTGGGGATGCGAGGTAGAAATATGTACCTCTATATAAGACCGGGGCTGGTTGGGGTGGACAGGGGTGGGGATGCGAAGTAGAAATATGTACCTCTATATCAGACCGGGGCTGGTTGGGGTGGACAGGGGTGGGGATGCGAGGTAGAAATATGTACCTCTATATAAGACCGGGGCTGGTTGGGGTGGACAGGGGTGGGGATGCGAAGTAGAAATATGTACCTCTATATCAGACCGGGGCTGGTTGGGGTGGACAGTGGTGGCGATGCGAGGTAGAAATATGTACCTCTATATAAGACAGGGGCTGGTTGGGGTGGACAGGGGTTGGGATGCGAAGTAGAAATATGTACCTCTATATCAGACCGGGGCTGGTTGGGGTGGACAGGGGTGGCGATGCGAGGTAGAAATATGTACCTCTATATCAGACCGGGCCTAGTTGGAGTGGACAGGGGCAGGGATGCGAGGTAGAAATATGTACCTCTATATAAGACCGGGGCTGGTTGGGGTGGACAGGGGTGGGGATGCGAGGTAGAAATATGTACCTCTATATAAGACCGGGGCTGGTTGGGGTGGACAGGGGTGGGGATGCGAGGTAGAAATATGTACCTCTATATAAGACCGGGGCTGGTTGGGGTGGAAAGGGGTGGGGATGCGAGGTAGAAATATGTACCTCTATATCAGACAGGGGCTGGTTGGGTTGGAAAGGGGTGGGGATGCGAGGTAGAAATATGTACCTCTATATCAGACCGGGGCTGGTTGGGGTGGAAAGGGGTGGGGATGCGAGGTAGAAATATGTACCTCTATATCAGACCGGGGCTGGTTGGGGTGGAAAGGGGTGGGGATGCGAGGTAGAAATATGTACCTCTATATCAGACCGGGGCTGGTTGGGGTGGAAAGGGGTGGGGATGCGAGGTAGAAATATGTACCTCTATATCAGACCGGGGCTGGTTGGGGTGGAAAGGGGTGGGGATGCGAGGTAGAAATATGTACCTCTATATCAGACCGGGGCTGGTTGGGGTGGAAAGGGGTGGGGATGCGAGGTAGAAATATGTACCTCTATATCAGACCGGGGCTGGTTGGGGTGGACAGGGGTGGGGATGCGAGGTAGAAATATGTACCTCTATATAAGACCGGGGCTGGTTGGGGTGGACAGGGGTGGGGATGCGAGGTAGAAATATGTACCTCTATATAAGACCGGGGCTGGTTGGGGTGGACAGGGGTGGGGATGCGAGGTAGAAATATGTACCTCTATATAAGACCGGGGCTGGTTGGGGTGGACAGGGGTGGGGATGCGAAGTAGAAATATGTACCTCTATATCAGACCGGGGCTGGTTGGGGTGGACAGGGGTGGGGATGCGAGGTAGAAATATTTACCTCTATATAAGACCGGGGCTGGTTGGGGTGGACAGGGGTGGGGATGCGAGGTAGAAATATGTACCTCTATATAAGACCGGGGCTGGTTGGGGTGGACAGGGGTGGGGATGCGAAGTAGAAATATGTACCTCTATATCAGACCGGGGCTGGTTGGGGTGGACAGGGGTGGCGATGCGAGGTAGAAATATGTACCTCTATATCAGACCGGGCCTAGTTGGAGTGGACAGGGGCAGGGATGCGAGGTAGAAATATGTACCTCTATATAAGACCGGGGCTGGTTGGGGTGGACAGGGGTGGGGATGCGAGGTAGAAATATGTACCTCTATATAAGACCGGGGCTGGTTGGGGTGGACAGGGGTGGGGATGCGAGGTAGAAATATGTACCTCTATATAAGACCGGGGCTGGTTGGGGTGGACAGGGGTGGGGATGTGAGGTAGAAATATGTACCTCTATATAAGACCGGGGCTGGTTGGGGTGGACAGGGGTGGGGATGCGAGGTAGAAATATGTACCTCTATATAAGACCGGGGCTGGTTGGGGTGGACAGGGGTGGGGATGCGCGGTGGAAATATGTACCTCTATATAAGACCGGGGCTGGTTGGGGTGGAAAGGGGTGGGGATGCGAGGTAGAAATATGTACCTCTATATAAGACCGGGGCTGGTTGGGATGGACAGGGATGGGGATGCGAGGTAGAAATATGTACCTCTATATAAGACCGGGGCTGGTTGGGGTGGACAGGGGTGGGGATGCGAGGTAGAAATATGTACCTCTATATAAGACCGGGGCTGGTTGGGGTGGACAGGGGTGGGGATGCGAGGTAGAAATATGTACCTCTATATAAGACCGGGGCTGGTTGGGGTGGACAGGGGTGGGGATGCGAGGTAGAAATATGTACCTCTATATAAGACTGGGGCTGGTTGGGGTGGACAGGGGTGGGGATGTGAGGTAGAAATATGTACCTCTATATAAGACCGGGGCTGGTTGGGGTGGACAGGGGTGGGGATGCGAGGTAGAAATATGTACCTCTATATAAGACCGGGGCTGGTTGGGGTGGACAGGGGTGGGGATGCGCGGTGGAAATATGTACCTCTATATAAGACCGGGGCTGGTTGGGGTGGAAAGGGGTGGGGATGCGCGGTAGAAATATGTACCTCTATATAAGACCGGGGCTGGTTGGAGTGGACAGGGGTGGGGATGCGCGGTAGAAATATGTACCTCTATATCAGACCGGGGTTGGTTGGGGTGGAAAGGGGTGGGGATGCGAGGTAGAAATATGTACCTCTATATAAGACCGGGGCTGGTTGGGGTGGACAGGGGTGGGGATGCGAGGTAGAAATATGTACCTCTATATAAGACCGGGGCTGGTTGGGGTGGACAGGGGTGGGGATGCGAGGTAGAAATATGTACCTCTATATAAGACCGGGGCTGGTTGGGGTGGACAGGGGTGGGGATGCGAGGTAGAAATATGTACCTCTATATAAGACCGGGGCTGGTTGGGATGGACAGGGGTGGGGATGCACGGTAGAAATATGTACCTCTATATAAGACCGGGGCTGGTTGGGGTGGACAGGGGTGGGGATGCGCGGTAGAAATATGTACCTCTATATAAGACCAGGGCTGGTTGGGGTGGACAGGGGTGGGGATGCGCGGTAGAAATATGTACCTCTATATAAGACCGGGGCTGGTTGGGGTGGACAGGGGTGGGGATGCGAGGTAGAAATATGTACCTCTATATCAGACCGGGGCTGGTTGGGGTGGAAAGGGGTGGGGATGCGAGGTAGAAATATGTACCTCTATATAAGACAGGGGCTGGTTGGGATGGACAGGGATGGGGATGCGAGGTAGAAATATGTACCTCTATATAAGACCGGGGCTGGTTGGGGTGGACAGGGGTGGGGATGCGAGGTAGAAATATGTGCCTCTATATAAGACCGGGGCTGGTTGGGGTGGACAGGGGTGGGGATGCGAGGTAGAAATATGTACCTCTATATAAGACCGGGGCTGGTTGGGGTGGACAGGGGTGGGGATGCGCGGTAGAAATGAGTCACTATTTTCAAACAGGACTCATCTTGCGGTAACAACTCAGGGGTACTTATGTCTGCCTGTGTTGTTTATGATCCAACACTTCAGTCGTCTGGACAGGTGTGTGTCACTGTAACATGGTGAGATCTTGTTTTCCTCGTGGCAATTGGCTTGGGCAAACCGACCGGCAATAAAACGCATAATTTACTGCGGTGTCACGGCGACAAACTTCGCCTTGTGTCACCAGTTAGAGCCCACTTGCCTTATCTCGGTCGTAAATGACCAGACCGGAAGTGACGTCAGTGTTGTGATATTCAGCTGGCAGGTTGGCTGACTACCTGTGTTATTATCAAAGATTAGCATGATATGGATTAATGAGGCCGGCACCCTTCGATGATCTTGGATTAGTACCTGTGATGTAGATGAAGCTGGGAAGCGTGACAGTGGGGATTCCGTATCGCGGCGAGATGGGGAGGTGGAAACACACCTGTGTCCTGCTGCTCAGCGTTCTCGGGACAGGTAAGTCGGCACATCCAAGAACTGCACAAGTTCCCGATCAGCATCCATCCGTCCGTATTGTCCTAAATGTTGAAAGTATTCCCCCCACACACCGATACTTTCTGTCACACTGTCAAATGGCACAACACAGGGGATAGAGGTGTGTTTTGGCGACATGTTTTGTGTTCGAGGTTGATTATTGACTTACCGCACGTTACACTGTAACTTACAGAAAGTTAACTTTCTCTGAGTGTTGAGCAGGACGTCAGTCTCATTACGATCACATCTCAGTTCTCGCTACTGCTAAACAAAGACCTGAGGGTTTGTGTAGGGGTAGCCTATAATAATAATAATGATAATAATCACAATAATAATCACAATTACGACCTGTAAACCATTTTTCAATTTTACTTTAACAACAAAATCAGCATGTTAGCATGTTAGGATTATTTTGTTATTTTGTACATTTAATAAGCGAGGCCACCCCCTCTGGACCCGCCACTGCTGATAAACCGCTGAAAGACAGACTTTCCATCGCCTGTGGGAAGCACTGCCATACAATCTCGGAAGCAGTGACTCTGTCATGCATGTCTACTGTGCAAAGTGACCTCCTGGAAGTACCATATTCCACAGGTAAGGGAGTTAACTGGCTATAAAAAAGTCCAGTTTCCACCCTTGCCGAACTAGGCTGGAATTATGGAGTTTTATTTTGCCTGGACTAACGAGTCTATGCATAATCCAATCAAAATTGTGTAACAAAATAGACATGATCCAGTTTGAAAAGAATATAACAATTGTCATGCAGATTTCGGTCAGTTGCAGGATTTGCAAGTCATGTGTAACGTCATTGGGGCATCCACAGATATTTTTCAAATATTTTCATGTTTTAATCAAAATGCTCAAGTATAATTATGCACTTCGAGAGGTAAGACCTGTTTTATTACAATAAAGATCCTGATTATTGATCAAATTGTCTTGACATGGTGCTGCCATTTTGTTTAAAGCAAATGCATGTAATATGATAGGTGGAATCTGATTGGCCAATAAGAGGGATATTTATAGGGACATTGGTCAGTGAGGAGGTCTGAGATGCTGTTGTTGAATATATAGTACATCCCTTCTGTGGTTTTTGTTGCAGTGTACGGCCAGTGTTATAGCGCTGTTGAAGATGCTGTTGTTGAATGTTTAGTACATCCCTTCTGTGTTTGTGTTGCAGTGTGCAGCCAGTGTTATAGCGCTGTTGAAGATGAAGTTGTTGAATGTTTAGTACATCCCTTCTGTGATTTAGTTGCAGTGTGCTGCCAGTGTTATAGCGCTGTTGAAGATGCTGTTGTTGAATGTACCGTACATCCCTTCTGTGTTTGTGTTGCAGTGTGCGGCCAGTGTTATAGCGCTGTTGAAGATGCTGTTGTTGAATGTTAGGTACATCCCTTCTGTGCTTTGGTTGCAGTGTGTCGCCAGTGTTATAGCGCTGTTGAAGATGCTGTTGTTGAATGTATAGTACATCCCTGCTGTGTTTCTGTTGCAGTGTGCAGCCAGTGTTATAGCGCTGTTGAAGATGCTGTTGTTGAATGTTTAGTACATCCCTTCTGTGATTTGGTTGCAGTGTGCGGCCAGTGTTATAGCGCTGTTGAAGATGCTGTTGTTGAATGTATAGTACATCCCTTCTGTGTTTTTGTTGCAGTGTGTGGCCAGTGTTATAGCTCTGTTGAAGATGCTGTTGTTGAATGTATAGTAAATCCCTGCTGTGTTTCTGTTGCAGTGTGTTGCCAGTGTTATAGCGCTGTTGAAGATGCTGTTGTTGAATATATAGTACATCCCTTCTGTGTTTCTGTTGCAGTGTGTTGCCAGTGTTATAGCGCTCTTGAAGATGCTGTTGTTGAATATATAGTACATCCCTCCTGTGCTTTGGTTGCACTGTGCGGCCAGTGTTATAGCGCTGTTGAAGATGCTGTTGTTGAATGTATAGTACATCCCTGCTGTGTTTCTGTTGCAGTGTGCAGCCAGTGTTATAGCGCTGTTGAAGATGCTGTTGTTGAATGTTTAGTACATCCCTTCTGTGATTTGGTTGCAGTGTGCGGCCAGTGTTATAGCTCTGTTGAAGATGCTGTTGTTGAATGTTTAGTACATCCCTTCTGTGTTTCTTGTTGCAGTGTGTGGCCAATGTTATAGCGCTGTTAAAGATGCTGTTGTTGAATGTTTAGAACATCCCTTCTGTGCTTTGGTTGCAGTGTGCGGCCAGTGTTATAGCGCTGTTGAAGATGCTGTTGTTGAATGTTTAGTACATCCCTTCTGTGATTTGGTTGCAGTGTGCGGCCAGTGTTATAGCGCTGTTGAAGATGCTGTTGTTGAATGTTTAGTACATCCCTTCTGTGCTTTGGTTGCAGTGTGCGGCCAGTGTTATAGCGCTGTTGAAGATGCTGTTGTTGAATGTTAGGTACATCCCTGCTGTGCTTTGGTTGCAGTGTGCGGCCAGTGTTATAGAGCTGTTGAAGATGCTGTTGTTGAATGTTTAGTACATCCCTGCTGTGCTTTGGTTGCAGTGTGCGGCCAGTGTTATAGCGCTGTTGAAGATGCTGTTGTTGAATGTTTAGTACATCCCTGCTGTGCTTTGGTTGCAGTGTGTCGCCAGTGTTATAGCGCTGTTGAAGATGCTGTTGTTGAATGTTTAGTACATCCCTGCTGTGCTTTGGTTGCAGTGTGTCGGCAGTGTTATAGCGCTGTTGAAGATGCTGTTGTTGAATGTTTAGTACATCCCTGCTGTGCTTTGGTTGCAGTGTGCGGCCAGTGTTATAGGGCTGTTGAAGATGCTGTTGTTGAATGTTTAGTACATCCCTGCTGTGCTTTGGGTGTAGTGTGTGGCCAGTGTTATAGCGCTGTTGAAGATGCTGTTGTTGAATGTTTAGTACATCCCTGCTGTGCTTTGTTTGCAGTGTGCGGCCAGTGTTATAGCGCTGTTGAAGATGCTGTTGTTGAATGTTTAGTACATCCCTTCTGTGCTTTGTTTGCAGTGTGCGGCCAGTGTTATAGCGCTGTTGAAGATGCTGTTGTTGAATGTTTAGTACATCCCTGCTGTGCTTTGTTTGCAGTGTGCGGCCAGTGTTATAGCGCTGTTGAAGATGCTGTTGTTGAATGTTTAGTACATCTCTGCTGTGCTTTGGTTGCAGTGTGCGGCCAGTGTTGTAGCGCTGTTGAAGATGCTGTTGTTGAATGTTTAGTACATCCCTCCTGTGCTTTGGTTGCAGTGTGCGGCCAGTGCTCTGACGGCCCTCTACACCTGACCATCAGTAAAACCACCAGCATCTCACTCCCCACCGACAGTGGACTGTACAAAAGGTTCGTACAGGTTGTCAGGTTTCGGTGCTTGTCATCAAGTGATCTGCTTCTCGCCATCACCAGGTGGAGTTTTCTCCCTTGTACATCCAAGGGTTTCTCTATATGTAAGTGCCTGTGTGTGATGTACATACATCCAAGGGTTTCTCTATATGTAAGTGTCTGTGTGTGATGTACCGCCATCAGATAGTGTGTGACCTCCATCTTGTCAGTGTCTGTGTGTGATGTACCGCCATCAGAGGGTGTGTGACCTCCGTCTTGTCAGTGTCTGTGTGTGATGTACAGCCATCAGAGGGTGTGTGACCTCTGTCTTGTCAGTGCCTGTGTGTGATGTACAGCCATCAGAGGGTGTGTGACCTCTGTCTTGTCAGTGTCTGTGTGTGATGTACAGCCATCAGAGGGTGTGTGACCTCCGTCTTGTCAATGCCTGTGTGTGATGTACAGCCATCAGATGGTGTGTGACCTCCGTCTTGTCAGTGCCTGTGTGTGATGTACAGCCATCAGAGGGTGTGTGACCTCCGTCTTGTCAGTGCCTGTGTGTGATGTACAGCCATCAGAGGGTGTGTGACCTCTGTCATGTCAGTGCCTGTGTGTCATGTACAGCCATCAGAGGATGTGTGACCTCAGCCTTGTCAGTGCCTGTGTGTCATGTACAGCCATCAGAGGATGTGTGACCTCCGTCTTGTCAGTGCCTTAGTGTGATGTACAGCCATCAGAGGGTGTGTGACCTCCGTCTTGTCAGTGCCTGTGTGTGATGTACCGCCATCAGAGAGTGTGTGACCTCCGTCTTGTCAGTGCCTGTGTGTGATGTACAGCCATCAGAGGGTGTGTGACCTCCGTCTTGTCAGTGCCTGCGTGTGATGTACAGCCATCAGAGAGTGTGTGACCTCCGTCTTGTCAGTGTCTGTGTGTGATGTACAGCCATCAGAGAGTGTGTGACCTCCGTCTTGTCAGTGTCTGTGTGTGATGTACAGCCATCAGAGGGTGTGTGACCTCCGTCTTGTCAGTGTCTGTGTGTGATGTACAGCCATCAGAGGGTGTGTGACCTCCGTCTTGTCAGTGCCTGTGTGTGATGTACCGCCATCAGAGAGTGTGTGACCTCCGTCTTGTCAGTGCCTGTGTGTGATGTACAGCCATCAGAGGGTGTGTGACCTCCGTCTTGTCAGTGCCTGTGTGTGATGTACAGCCATCAGAGGGTGTGTGACCTCCGTCTTGTCAGTGCCTGCGTGTGATGTACAGCCATCAGAGAGTGTGTGACCTCCGTCTTGTCAGTGTCTGTGTGTGATGTACAGCCATCAGAGAGTGTGTGACCTCCGTCTTGTCAGTGTCTGTGTGTGATGTACAGCCATCAGAGGGTGTGTGACCTCCGTCTTGTCAGTGTCTGTGTGTGATGTACAGCCATCAGAGAGTGTGTGACCTCCGTCTTGTCAGTGTCTGTGTGTGATGTACAGCCATCAGAGGGTGTGTGACCTCCGTCTTGTCAGTGTCTGTGTGTGATGTACCGCCATCAGAGGGTTTGTGACCTCCTACTTGTCAGTGCCTGTGTGTGATGTACAGCCATCAGAGAGTGTGTGACCTCCGTCTTGTCAGTGTCTGTGTGTGATGTACAGCCATCAGAGAGTGTGTGACCTCCGTCTTGTCAGTGCCTGTGTGTGATGTACAGCCATCAGAGAGTGTGTGACCTCTGTATGTGTGAATGTTGCAGTGACCTACACTGTCAGTGGAACCTCTGTATGTGTGAATGTTGCAGTGACCTACTCTACAGTTGAACATCTGTATGTGTGAATGTTGCAGTGACCTACATTTTCAGTATGACCTCTGTATGTGTGAATGTTGCAGTGACCTACACTGTCAGTGGAACCTCTGTATGTGTGAATGTTGCAGTGACCTACTCTACAGTGGAACCTCTGTATGTGTGAATGTTGCAGTGACCTACTCTCAAGTGGAACCTCTGTATGTGTGAATGTTGCAGTGACCTACTCTCAAGTGGAACCTCTGTATGTGTGAATGTTGCAGTGACCTACTCTCAAGTGGAACCTCTGTATGTGTGAATGTTGCAGTGACCTACACTGTCAGTGGAACCTTCCTATGTGTGAATGTTGCAGTGACCTACACTGTCGGTGGAACCTTCCTATGTGTGAATGTTGCAGTGACCTACACTGTCAGTGGAACCTTCCTATGTGTGAATGTTGCAGTGACCTACACTGTCAGTGGAACCTTCCTATGTGTGAATGTTGCAGTGACCTACACTGTCAGTGGAACCTTCCTATGTGTGAATGTTGCAGTGACCTACACTGTCAGTGGAACCTTCCTATGTGTGAATGTTGCAGTGACCTACACTGTCAGTGGAACCTTCCTATGTGTGAATGTTGCAGTGACCTACTCTCAAGTGGAACGTCTGTATGTGTGAATGTTGCAGTGACCTACACTGTCAGTGGAACCTTCCTATGTGTGAATGTTGCAGTGACCTACACTGTCAGTGGAACCTCTGTATGTGTGATGTTGCAGTGACCTACACTGTCAGTGGAACCTCTGTATGTGTGAATGTTGCAGTGACCTACACTGTCAGTGGAACCTGACTTCAGGAAGTAGCGATGCTCTACAGCTGGAGTTCGAGACCTTCTCCCTACAGGACTCCCCAGAGTGCATCAATGACTACCTTGAGATCTACTCCAGCAGCGGGGACCTCATCGACCGCTGGTGTGGTGATCTCTACCCCGAGTACATCGTCATGAATGGGGGTAGCATCATCTTTCACAGCGACGACAGGGTCAGCTCAGCAGGCTTCGTCATCAAAGTCAAGTATATATGTACGTAACCACAACCCCACACTCAACAACCCCACAACCCCACACTCAACAACCCCACACTCAACAACCCCACAGCCACACACAAACAACCCCACAGCCACACACAAACAACCCCACAACCACAAACAACACAACTCCACTACCACACACAACACAACCACACACAACACAACCCCAAGACCACACACAACCCCACGGCCACAATAAACAAAACCCCACGATCACACACAAAACACAACCCAAAACACAACAACCCCATGACCACACACAACACAACCCCAAGACCCCACACACACAACAACCACACACAACACAACTCCACGACCACACACAACACAATCCCACAACCACACACAACACAACCCAAAGACCACACACATCAAACTCACGACCACACACAACATAACCCCACACACAACAACCCAACAACCACACACAACACAACCCCACACTCAACAACCCCCACAACCCAACACACCACAACACAGCACCACACACCACAACCCAATTAAACTCCCAACACCACAACCACATACACAACAACCACACACACCAATCCAATGCAACCACACACAACACAACCCCACAGAACACAACCACACACCCATCCAACACAACCACACGTAAACAACCTCATCCAACACAACCACACACACCATCCAACACAACCACATACACCATCCAACACAACCACACACACCATCCAACACAACCACACACACCATCCAACACAACCACACACACCATCCAACACAACCACACACAACCTCATCCTACACAACCACACACCATATCCAAAACAACCACTTCCAACACTACAACACTCAACCACATCCAACACAACCACACACAGCCACCTCCAGCCACATCCAACACAACCACACAACATATCCAAAACAACCACTTCCAACACTACAACACTCAACCTTATCCAACACAACCACACACACCATCCAACACAACCACACACAACCAGCCACCACATCCAACACAACCACACACCACATCCAACGCAACCACACACACCATCCAACACAACCAGCCACCACATAAAACAGAACCACATCCAACTCAACCACACACAACAACATCCAACACCACACACAACAACATCCAACACCACACACAACACATCCACATCCAACACAACCACACGCCACTTCCAACGCAACCACACATACCATCCAACACAACCAGCCACCACATCCAACACAACCACATCCAACACAACCTCACACCACATCCAACACAACCACATCCAACACAACCACACACACCATCCAACACAACCACACACCACATCCAACGCAACCACACACACCATCCAACACAACCAGCCACCACATAAAACAGAACCACATCCAACACAACCACACACAACAACATCCAACACCACACACAACAACATCCAACACCACACACAACACATCCACATCCAACACAACCACACATCACTTCCAACACAACCAGCCACCACATCCAACACAACAACATCCAACACAACCACACACAACAACATCCAACACCACACACAACACATCCACATCCAAGGCAACCACACACACCATCCAACACAACCCGCCACCACATCCAACACAACCACATCCAGCACAACCTCACACCACATCCAACACAACCACACACACCACATCCAACACAACCACACACAACAACATCCAACACCACACACAACACATCCACATCCAACACAACCACACATCACATTCAACGCAACCACACACAACAACATCCAACACCACACACAACACATCCACATCCAACACAACCACACGCCACTTCCAACACAACCAGCCACCACATCCAACACAACCACATCCAACACAACCAGCCACCACATCCAACACAACCACACACAGCAACATCCAACACAACCACATCCAACACAACCACATCCAACACAACCAGCCACCACATCCAACACAGCCACACATTACAACATCCAACACCACACACAACACAACCACATCCAACAAACCACACACCTCATCCAACACGTCAAATGGGCAGAGGTTCGCAAGTGAATTTATTGCAGTACAAAAAAAATATCTATTTGCCCTGCCGGACAAGTTCATCTTCCCGAGGCAAGTGAGTTAACTGGCTATAAAAGTCCAGTTTCCACCCTTGCCGAACTAGGCTCGTATTATAGAGTTCCATTTTGGCTGGACTAACGAGTCTATACATAGTCCAATCAAATCGTGCAACGAAATCGTAACTGTTAAACAGATTTTGGTCGATTGCAGGATTTGCAAATCATGCGCACCACCAACTCTGTGTCAACACATATTTTTCAATGTTTTTCATGTTTATAATCAAGGAGCTCACGTTATTTGATACACTTGGCAAGGTAAGACCCGTTTTATCACAATATAGATCTTGATTATCAATCAGATTGTCTTGACTGGGCGCCGCCATTTTGTTTGAAGCAAATGCAAGTGAAAAGAGAGGTGGAATCGGATTGGTCAGTAGGAGAGGCTTAGAAGGGACATAACTCGTGATAGCCACTGGTGGCGCTACGGTCGAGCCCAGGAATTCCAGCCTAGTTTGGCAAGGGTGGAAACTGGACTTTTGTAGTCAGTTAACTCTCTTGCCTCAGGAAGATGGGACAAGTTGGGTTTAGGAAATGTTTCAAGCCCTGATGTGTTGAAGTCGATGTGAATATTGTGGTGATGCTCTTTTCAGTTGTCGCTTCCTTCCAAAACATCCAGTTTCCTGTCACGGCAACCACCAAACCCAAACTACTCTATGCTCCGTTCTATGGTGAAAGTAATGTGTGAGTATATACGTGTTGTCACGGCAACCACCAAACCCAAACTACTCTATGCTCCGTTCTATGGTGAAAGTAATGTGTGAGTATATACGTGTTGTCACGGCAACCACCAAACCCAAACTTCTCTATGCTCCATTCTATGGTGAAAGTAATGTGTGAGTATATACGTGTTGTCACGGCAACCACCAAACCCAAACTACTCTATGCTCCGTTCTATGGTGAAAGTAATGTGTGAGTATATACGTGTTGTCACCGCAACTACCAAGTATAAACTACTCTATGCTCCGTTCTATGGTGAAAGTAATGTGTGAGTATATACGTGTTGTCACGGCAACCACCAAGTATAAACTACTCTATGTTCCGTTCTATGGTGAAAGTAATGTGTGAGTATATACGTGTTGTCACGGCAACCACCAAGCATAAACTACTCCAGCTCCGTTCTATGGTGAAAGTAATGTGTGAGTATATACGTGTTGTCACGGCAACCACCAAGCATAAACTACTCCAGCTCCGTTCTATGGTGAAAGTAATGTGTGAGTATATACGTGTTGTCATGGCAACCACCAAACCCAAACTACTCTATGTTCCGTTCTATGGTGAAAGTAATGTGTGAGTATATACGTGTTGTCACGGCAACTACCAAGTATAAACTACTCTATGTTCCGTTCTATGGTGAAAGTAATGTGTGAGTATATACGTGTTGTCATGGCAACCACCAAGTATAAACTACTCTATGTTCCGTTCTACGGTGAAAGTAATGTGTGAGTATATACGTGTTGTCACGGCAACCACCAAGCATAAACTACTCCAGCTCCGTTCTATGGTGAAAGTAATGTGTGAGTATATACGT